TATAGCGTTTCTTTTTTTATAATTTCAGAACTCGATACGAGATAGATCATCTTCGGAACGAGAGGCGTCGCGGCTAATATAATTGGTAAGTGGGAGTTTGTCTGACATGTAACATCGCCGCGCTGTCGCCGTCGCCACCGCCGCCGACCCGCGTCGCCGCGACGCTTGTTTCGCGTAAGCTGGTCTCACGCGGGACGAATTGCTCCGCTTCACTATTTTAATTACGTTAACGCATAAACGTGAAATAAAGAATAAGATGCGGAGCAACGCCGCCGCGCCGTGCCACTTTCGGCACGTGAAATTGGCCGCGCCAGAAACGAAGTACTTGCGTTATTTTAATCGCATTCATGTTTCATTTGCAGGATACGATAGACACGGAACGGTGTCCAGCTCTGGTACAAGTGATGCCACGATTCTCTTAATTGGTAAGTAATACTTATATTAATCTCTCATTAATCTGCAACTGGCGTAATATTGATTGGACATTTGCATGCTGATAAATCGGTTGAACGCGTATTACGTAATACTCATTCGGCCAAAAATCAAGCCATATAGCGTCGCCGCGCTATCGCTGCCGCCGTTGCCGCGGAGCTCATTTCGCGTAAAGTTAATCACGCGCGAGACAAAGCACGCTCCTTCGCTATCTTAATTATATTAATGTTTTAATTGCAGGACGTGATGGATACAGAACGCAACGATTGCGGAACAAGTACCGTCGCGAATCATATAATTGGTAAGTGCAAAATTTATGTTGAATTTCGTACACTTTTATTTTTTTGTTGTTGTTGTTATTAAAATCTAGGTGCCCGGTTTTTTTTGCCGATGAGTATATTAATCAGTCAATGAATAGACAAACAAATCAAATTGCGAGCTGTACTGCGAACATAATTACTTCATTTACTATATGAAATGAAGTAATTGTTTGCTGCACAATAATACATCATTTTGGATCTATGTAATAATAGAGTACTGTTCTTAATATAGTAGCATGTAATTGAAAACTAATGAGATTATAAATTTATAATTATTTAAAAAATATATGTATTTAATTAAAAAATGAAAATGTTCGAATTCGTAAGAATTATCTTTTGAAATATTAAATTTTCTGAACTTTGTTTTAATTTGAATCAGAGGACTTGATAATCCAAATATTCAACAAGGAGATTTAAGAACATCTAATTGTCCTGAGAGGAGGAGGAGGCTTAGGAGAAGCATCTGGCCCCGGCGGAGCAACCTTGGGGTAAATATCATTTTTTTACTTGCATAAAATCAAAAGTTTTTGTTTAAAACTTAAAAAAGTCCAGATAAGGCTCTCACGAATAAACAATTCGACACATTTAAAGTTTTTGTTTATTTATTCGGGCGATTTATCTTAATAAATTACAAGTAATTACAAATAAAAAAAT